GCACCACCTGTGCCCCCTGCTGTGCCAGGCTAGGTGCACCAGGAGGTCACGGGGCAGACCCAGCAGGTGCCCCCGGTCGACCGACTGAGACGAGTGGCCGATGCACCATCAGCTGTGATCCCCTACTTTGCCAGGCTAGGTGCACCAGGAGGTCACGGGGCAGACCCAGCAGGTGCCACCGGTCGACCGACTGAGACGAGTGGCCGATGCACCATCAGCTGTGATCCCCTACTGTGCCAGGCTAGGTGCACCAGGAGGTCACGGGGCAGACCCAGCAGGTGCCACCGGTCGACCGACTGAGACGAGTGGCCGATGCACCATCAGCTGTGATCTCCTACTGTGCCAAGGGATCGTCCATAAATGACGTCACGCACCTAGGAGGGGGGGGGTCAGACATTTGTGACGATGTGTGACGATAGGGGGGAGGGGTGAGAAATGTGACGTCACATCAAAATGCGCAACTTTAAATTAAATATAGAATTGTTATCAGAATCAGAATCAGAAAGGGTTTTATTCGCCATGTAAGTTCACACCGACACGGAATTTACTTTGGCAGGATGGTGCATACATTCAACATATAGGAATCTAAAATCTTAAGTAAGTTTTAAACAAGTCTTACTATAATAAGGGTTAAAAGTCTAACACTAAGGGGCTGAAGTATATAAAATTAAATAAATATCGAATATAAAATAGCTTTAAGATATAATTAAAAAATACAAATAGGGAAACATAGTTAATATCAGCAACGTGTCGTTATGTAGATCAAATGTTAAAAACAGTGTTAGCCCTTGGCCTTGTTTAACAGGCCAGCAGCAGATGGGAAGAAACTGTTTTTATGGCGTGAGGTTTTGGTCCTGATGGACCGAAGCCTTCTGCCGGAGGGGAGTAGCTGAAACAGAGAGTGTCCAGGGTGGGAGAAATCGGCCATAATCTTCCTCGCTCGCCTCATAGACCTTGTCGTGTGCAGGTCCTCGAGGGTCGGTAGATTGCAGGCAATTACCTTCTCAGCAGTGTGGATGATACGCTGCAGTCTGCTCTTGTCCTTGGCAGTGGCAGCAGCGTACCAGACGGTTATGGAGGAGGTGAGGATGGATTCAATGATCGCTGTATAGAATTGCACCAACATTGTCTTTGGCAGGTTGAATTTCTTCAGCTGCCGTAGAAAGTACATCCTCTGTTGAGCTTTCTTGGTGAGGGAGCTGATGTTCAATTCCCACTTGAGGTCCCGGGAGAGAATAATGCCCAGGAAGCGGAAGGACTCTACAATTTTGACTGGGGAGTCTAACAGGGTGATGGGGGTGAGTGGTGCTGTATTCTTCCTGAAGTCCACAACCATCTCAACTGTCTTTAGAGCATTTAGCTCTAAGTTGTTCTGGATACACCAGGTCACCAGATTGTCAGCTTCCCACCTATAGTCAGACTCATCCCCACCAGAGATCAGCCCAATGAGGGTGGTGTCATCCGCAAACTTCAATAGTTTGACGGACAGATGATTGGAGGTGCAGCTGTTGGTATACAGGGAGAAGAGCAGAGGGGAAAGGACGCAGCCCTGAGGAGTTCCGGTGCTGATGGACCTGGAGCCAGAGACTTGTGTTCCCAGCTTAACGCACTGCTTCCTGTCAGACAGGAAGTCTGTGATCCATTTACAGGTGGTGTATGGCACGTTCAGCTGGAAGAGCTTGACCTGAAGCAGGGCAGGGATGATGGTGTTGAAGGCAGAGCTGAAGTCCACAAACAGGATCCTGGCGTAGGATGCTGGGGCGTCCAGATGCTGTAGGGTGAAGTGGAGGGCCATGTTAACTGCATCGTCCACAGACCTGTTGGCTCTGTAGGCAAACTGAAGGGGGTCCAGGAGAGGGTCTGTGATGGCTTTGAGGTGTGCCAGGACCAGGCGCTCAAAAGACTTCATTACCACAGATGTAAGGGCGACCGGTCTGTAATCATTTAGTCCTGTTGGCCTTAGCTTTTTGGGCACAGGGATGATGGTGGAGGACTTGAGACAGGCTGGTACATGGCATGTCTCTATGGAGGTGTTAAAGATGTTGGTGAACACCGGAGACAGCTGGTCAGCGCAGTGCCTGAGGGTGGCTGGAGAGACAGAGTCCGGCCCGGCTGCTTTGCGTGGATTCTGCCTCTTGAAAAGTCTATTAACTTCTCCCTCCTGAAAGGAGATAGTCGTCTCTGTAGTATTGGTGGGGGATGGGGCCTCTTGGGTTGGAAGGGGTGGTTCAGGACAGTCCAATTGTCTTTCAAATCTACAGTAGAACTCGTTCAGGTCGTTGGCTAGGCGGGAGTCGTTAGTGGTGTGGGGGGCTCTGGGTTTGTAGTTGGTGATCTGCCTGAGCCCTCTCCAGACAGAAGCAGCGTCGTTTGTAGAGAACTGGTGTTTTAGTCTCTCTGAGTACAGTCGTTTAGCCTCTCTCACCGCTTTGCTAAACCTGTTCTTCGACTCCTTGAATCTGTCTCTATCTCCACTCCTAAACGCTTCCTCCTTCTCCAACCTCAACCTTCTGAGCTTTGCTGAGAACCAGGGCTTATTGTTGTTAAAGTTCACCCTGGTACGTGTTGGGATACAGCAGTCCTCACAGAAGCTGATGTAGGACGTCACAGCCTCTGTGAGTTCATCCAGACTATTGGTAGCAGTCGTGAACATATCCCAGTCAGTACAGTCTAAGCACGCCCGCAAATCTTCCACAGCCTCACTGGTCCACTGTTTAGATGTCCTCACAGCAGGTTTACAGAGTTTTAGTTTCTGCCTGTATGCAGGAATCAGGTGGACCATGGCATGGTCAGAGTGTCCTAGTGCTGCTCGGGGGACGGCGTGGTAGGCTCCACTGACTGTAGTGTAGCAGTGATCCAGAGTGTTCCCTTCTCTGGTTGGGCATTTAATGAATTGTATGTATTTGGGGAGTTCGTGGCTGAGATTACCTTTGTTAAAGTCGCCAAGTACGATAACCAACGAATCTGGATTTGCTCGCTCCACACTCAGAATCTGATCGGCGAGCATGCGTTGGGCCTCTTTAACCTGAGGACAAGGCGGCAAATAAACTCCGACCAAAATGAGCGACGCGAACTCGCGAGGCGAGTAAAACGGTTTACAGGTTATAAAAATTGATTCAAGGAGTGGAGAACAATGTTGCAGAATCACTGTGACATCTACACACCAGCCACTGTTAATGTAAAAACAAATACCACCGCCTTTCGTCTTGCCGGAGAGTGCTATGTCACGATCCGATCTTACAAGATGGAATCCTGCTAGTTGTAGCGAAGTGTCCGGAATCAAATCACACAGCCATGTTTCCGTGAAGCACAATGCAGAAGCTGAAAGAAAGTCTTTGTTTTTTACCATCAGTAGCTGAAGTTCATCCATTTTGTTGTACAGTGAACGTACGTTGGAGAGGAAAAAGCTCGGAAGCACTGTTCGGATCCCGCGTCTGCGTAGACGTACTAGAGCCCCCGACCGTTTACCCCTTGGGCGGCGTTTCGTTGCTTGAGCAAAGCCTAGCGCGGCATTGACTAGAATGCCTACTAATTCTGCCGCTGGAAGCAGAAAAGTAGGAATTAAATCCACAGGAGTTGTTTCCCTGATATTTAAAAGTTCGTCTCTTGTTAGAGAACTCCGAAAATCTTGGCAAAACACTGAATTGACAGACAAAACAAGACAAAACAGGGCGCACCGACCGGCTGAGGCTACCATCATCAGCGCCATCTTCGCACCAGCACGGGTGTTCTGAACAGCAGGACTCTCTCACCAGCACTACAACATCAGAGCGCAGCGCCACATTAAATGCTCACTACAATGACAATAGTTTAAAGCGATTTGAAGCATGTTTTATTTTCAGAATGGAAATGTTTTTTTGGGGGGGGGGGTGGGGAGCAGAGCTTTGTGACGTCATATTTGGGGGGGCAGAGCTCTGTGACGTCATATTTGAGGAGGGGGTCTGACTGTTTGTGACGCCGCGTGACGAAGAGGGGGGGGGGTCAAAAATCGTCCAAAATCGCGTGACGTCATTCATGGACGGCTCCGAGCCACCCGGCGCTCCGCTCGTTGCTGTGAGCGTCGCCAAAGACAAAGATCCCCTGTGTAGCCTCTAACAGGCTGTAGGGGCAAGTGCTGTTAGCGAGTAGCAGCAGCACCTATACACAGACAAAGATCCCCCGTGTAGCCTCTAACAAGGCTGTAGGGCAAGTGCTGTTAGCAAGTAGCAGCAGCACCTATACACAGACAAAGATCCCCCGTATAGCCTCTAACAGGCTGTAGGGGCAAGTGCTGTTAGTGAGTAGCAGCAGCACCTATACACAGACAAAGACCCCCCGTGTAGCCTCTAACAGGCTGTAGGGGCAAGTGCTGTTAGCGAGCAGCGCCTATGAAGGCTACCGGCGCTGTGGCACTCCCCCAGTGGCGATGTTTGCTACACACCGCACCAGGTTACTCATTTGAGGCCGAGTCGACCTAGGCGAGGAGACTCAGGACCGGTTCGAGATAATCGTTGCCCGTGAGCGGGAATCGAACTCGGATGGCCAGGTTCGTAGCGCTAACCGCTGCACCACCGCTCCCCACGTTGTTGCAGACACACGCGCGCGGTGACGTCACGCCACAATCCGCCTTCCCCGTTCCCGCCAAACAGTGTGACGTCATCAAGCGCCGATGATGTCACCGCGGCCGCCCTCTCTCTAGCGTCGGCACGGTCGCGCCGTGACGTCACCGCGCACGGCGGACGTGCGGTCCGCCGTGAGCGCCGACGTCATGACGCAACGTTAACTCCTCCCTCTATGCAACCCCGCCCCCCCTCTCTAACCCCGCCCCTCCCCCCTTTAACCCCGCCCCTCTCCCTCCCCCTAACCCCGCCTCCCTTTCTCTCTAACCCCACCCCTCCCTCTCTCTCACCGCCCCTCCCCCCTCTCTCTAACCCCTCCCCTTTCCGCCCCTTCCTCTCTCTAACCCCGCCCCTTCCTCTCTCTAACCCCGCCCCTCCCTCTCTCTAACCCCGCCCCCTCCCTCCCTCTCTCTCACCTCGCCCCTCCCCCTCTCTCCCTCTCTCCTTTCCCCCTCCGCCGCCATCGCCGCCGCCTCGTCGTCGTCTCCCCTCAGAATGGTGAGGCACAAACTCCCGCGCGACAAATCCATCGCCATCCGCCTCCATCGCCGCGTTTAATCGCGACCGGGACACCTCCCGAGTTCGCCCATCGGGGATTCGCGTCGCGATATCGCCGCTTTTTATCGTCTTTATTTCTTAATTGAAACAAAATTTAGGGGAGATAAAAAAAAATCTCCCGCCGCCACTCACCCCCCCGCCATTGCCCAGCGGTTGAAGCCTTTCCTCGTAGGCCGCCGTTGCGGTAAAAGTCGCGGCCTGGCTGAGGAGATTTAACGTTGGCTGCCTTCATCTTGTCCCTCACCATCACCACCGCGCGTCGATTCGTTGCTCTGTCCACTGCACGACAACGACGATCTCGCTTCCGAAACGAACCGGCACATTTTGTTTTTGACTTGGAACACGGCGATCCCTCACCACGAGCACCCCAGCGGTGGACGGAGCCCCTCACATCACCTCGCACTCACCTCTACTCACCTCGCCCTCACCACGATCTCACCTCGCCATCACCTCCCCTCACCTCGATCTCACCTCGCACTCAGCTCGCCCTCACCACGACCACCCCAGCGGTGGACGGAGCCCCTCACATCACCTGCCCTCACCTCGCCCTCACCTCGCACTCACCACGACCTCACCTCGCCCACTCCAGCAGTGGACTGGGCACTGTCTCACAACACGTCACGACTACAGTGGACTGTGCACTGTCTCACAACACGTCACGACTACAGTGGACTGGGCACTGTCTCACACGCGTCACCACTACAGTGGACTGGGCACTGTCTCACAACACGTCACGACTACAGTGGACTGTGCACTGTCTCACAACACGTCACGACTACAGTGGACTGGGCACTGTCTCAACACGTCACGACTACAGTGGACTGGGCACTGTCTCACAACACGTCACGACTACAGTGGACTGGGCACTGTCTCACACACGTGACGACTACAGTGGACTGGGCACTGTCTCACAACACGTCACGACTACAGTGGACTGTGCACTGTCTCACACGCGTCACCACTACAGTGGACTGGGCACTGTCTCACAACACGTCACGACTACAGTGGACTGTGCACTGTCTCACAACACGTCACGACTACAGTAGACTGGGCACTGTCTCACACGCGTCACCACTACAGTGGACTGGGCACTGTCTCACAACACGTCACCACTACAGTGGACTGGGCACTGTCTCACACGTCACGACTACAGTGGACTGTGCACTGTCTCACAACACGTCACGACTACAGTGGACTGGGCACTGTATCTAATAGCGAGATGATGTGTGGTGGTGGTGGATTTCCGCTGAGCAACGTGTGAGGGTGATTTGTGAAGGGGGGTCTATGCTCGCTCGAGGCCCGTGGTTCGAAACGTCGCCTGTGAATTGGTCGATTCAGTGACCGCCGCTCGTGTGTGTGATTTGTCAGACTCGTCAAAAAGTATTTTAACCCGAGGCGTAATACCACACACACACGCGCGGTGCTTCAAAAAAACGTTAACACTTACAGGGGACTATCGCTTTTAACGATAAAGCAATCGTAAGACGATAACAAATGTGACGTTTAATTGCTTCAAAGAGTCTCCCATGCTTGTTCTCGCCAGCGTTGTCAACAGCAGCGCGCCTGGAATCTTCCCCAGGTGGTCTCTGCAGTCCTGGAGGCCCAACATTTATCGTGGGGGGGCTGTTTTTGAAATTATCTCAAGCGGAAGTGTTAACATTTTTTTGAAGCACTGTACGTAGTGTATAGTGTGTAGTACAGGGAAAAATAAGTGTCAGCCGACCGGTGACGATTATCCGAGCCGGTCCCTGGGCCTCCTCCCCTAGGTCGACTCGGCCTCAAATGAGTACCCGCTGCGGCTGCGGCGGCGGCGTTGCGTGGTAAACGTCGCCCGCCGGGGAGACAAAGGCGGCCGGGCGTGGTCGCTGAGCCACCCGCCGTGTGCCGGCGCTCGTCTGCGGCGCAGTCACCAGCAGCAGTCGCACCCAAGCCGTGTGTCAAGGCTGCGTGTGGGGGTCATTTGTGTGCTCTTGTGTCGCGTAGAGCTCGCACAAGACGTTCAAGATCAAGCGCTTCCTGGCGAAGAAGCAGAAGCAGAATCGGCCGATCCCCCAGTGGATCCGCATGAAGACTGGGAACACGATCCGGTGACTCCTCTTACACTACCCTGTGTACACTACCCTATACACTACAGCACTATACACTACAGCACTATACACTACCCTATACACTACAGCACTATACACTACAGCACTATACACTACCCTGTGTACACTACCCTATACACTACATCACTATACACTACCCTATACACTACCCTATACACTACAGCACTATACACTACCCTATACACTACCCTATACACTACAGCACTATACACTACATCACTATACACTACCCTATACACTACATCACTATACACTACCCTATACACTACATCACTATACACTACCCTATAGACTACATCACTATACACTACCCTATACACTACCCTATACACTACATCACTATACACTACCCTATACACTACCCTATATACTACCCTATACACTACCCTATACACTACAGCACTATACACTACCCTATACACTACCCTATACACTACAGCACTATACATTACCCTATACACTACCCTATACACTACCCTATACACTACATCACTATACACTACCCTATACACTACCCTATACACTACAGCACTATACACTACATCACTATACACTACCCTATACACTACATCACTTTACACTACCCTATACACTACATCACTTTACACTACCCTATACACTACCCTATACACTACATCACTATACACTACCCTATACACTACATCACTATACACTACCCTATACACTACATCACTTTACACTACCCTATACACTACCCTATACACTACAGCTCTATACACTACCCTATACACTACCCTATACACTACCCTATGCACTACATCACTATACACTACCCTATACACTACATCACTATACACTACCCTATACACTACATCACTTTACACTACCCTATACACTACCCTATACACTACAGCTCTATACACTACCCTATACACTACCCTATACACTACCCTATACACTACATCACTATACACTACCCTATACACTACATCACTATACACTACCCTATACACTACCCTATACACTACCCTATACACTTCATCACTTTACACTACCCTATACACTACATCACTTTACGCTACCCTATACACTACCCTATACACTACATCACTTTACACTACCCTATACACTACCTTATACACTACACTTTAGACTACCCTATACACTACATTACTATACACTACCCTATATACTACCCTATACACTACATCACTGTACACTACCTTAGACGAGAGAGACACGCAAACAGGCATCGTCAGGGTCGGGATCGAACCCACGACCTCCTGTATCCTAGGCGAGGTAGTCAACATCTCCTAGCTACCGTGATGATGATGAGAGAGACGCAAACTCCAAATATACAGCAGCAGGCATCGTCAGGGTCAAATCGAACCCACGACCTCCTGCGTACCAGGCGGTGTAGTCAACATCTCATAGCCACCGTGATGATGATGAGACAGACGCAGACTCCAAATAAACAGCGGCAGGCATCGTCAGGGTCGGGATCGCACCCACGACCTCCTGTGTACCAGGCGAGGTAGTCAACATCTCACAGCCACCGTGATGATGATGAGAGACGCAGACTCCAAATATACAGCGGCAGACATCCACAGGGTCGGGATCGCACCCACGACCTCCTGTGTACCAGGCGAGGTAGTCAACATCTCACAGCCACCGTGATGATGATGATGAGAGACGCAGACTCCAAATAAACAGCGGCAGGCATCCACAGGGTCGGGATCGCACCCACGACATCCTGTGTACCAGGCGAGGTAGTCAACATCTCACAGCCACCGTGATGATGAGAGAGACGCAGACTCCAAATATACAGCGGCAGACATCCACAGGGTCGGGATCGCACCCACGACCTCCTGTGTACCAGGCGAGGTAGTCAACATCTCACAGCCACCGTGATGATGATGATGAGGGAGACGCAGACTCCAAATATACAGCGGCAGACATCGTCAGGGTCGGGATCGCACCCACGACATCCTGTGTACCAGGCGAGGTAGTCAACATCTCACAGCCACCGTGATGATGAGAGAGACGCAGACTCCAAATATACAGCGGCAGACATCCACAGGGTCGGGATCGCACCCACGACCTCCTGTGTACCAGGCGAGGTAGTCAACATCTCACAGCCACCGTGATGATGATGATGAGGGAGACGCAGACTCCAAATATACAGCGGCAGACATCCACAGGGTCGGGATCGCACCCACGACATCCTGTAGACCAGGCGAGGTAGTCAACATCTCACAGCCACCGTGATGATGATGATGATGAGAGACGCAGACTCCAAATAAACAGCGGCAGGCATCGTCAGGGTCGGGATCGCACCCACGACATCCTGTGTACCAGGCGAGGTAGTCAACATCTCACAGCCACCGTGATGATGAGAGAGACGCAAACTCCAAATATACAGCGGCAGACATCCACAGGGGCGGGATCGCACCCACGACCTCCTGTGTACCAGGCGAGGTAGTCAACATCTCACAGCCACCGTGATGATGATGATGAGAGACGCAGACTCCAAATAAACAGTGGCAGGCATCGTCAGGGTCGGGATCGCACCCACGACATCCTGTGTACCAGGCGAGGTAGTCAACATCTCACAGCCACCGTGATGATGATGATGAGAGAGACGCAGACTCCAAATATACAGCGGCAGACATCGTCAGGGTAGGGATCGCACCCACGACCTCCTGTGTACCAGGCGAGGTAGTCAACGTCTCGGCGGGACGCAATTACGGCGTCGGTCTGACCCCGATCACCGCGCCGCCATTATTCCCGCCCACATCAATGCCGCCGCGTGACTCCCACGCCTCCCCCATCTCCCACGCACCTCGTCGCACGCCCCAACGAGGTGCCGGGAGATACGGACACAGCCTTGCATCGTCGCTACCGTCGTTTGGCAATCGTCGTGCGTGCGTGTGTGAGTGTGTGTGTGCGTGCGTGTGTGCGTGCGTGTGTGCGTGCGTGTGTGCGTGTGTTTGCGTGTGTAAGTGTGTGTGTGTGTGTGAGTGCGTGTGTGCGTGCGTGTGTGCGTGTGTAAGTGTGTGTGCGTGCGTGTGTGTGTGTGTGCGTGCGTGTGTAAGTGTGCGTGTGTGTAAGTGTGTGTGTGTGTGTGCGTGTGTGTGTGTGCGTGCGTGTGTGCGTGTGTGTGCGTGTGCGAGTGTGCGTGCGTGTATCTTGGAACTTCTGTGGCACCGTACGTAGCCGACCGTGTGAATCGATAACAAACTAAAGACGACAACAAGAAGAAGCAGTTCTAAAGAAATGAGTTTGTCAGCCTAGACGCTGATGATTTAAAAGTGCAGCATAGCTCCCTAGTGGCTTCATAATATCGACAGGAAGAGCGTTCCAGACGGCCGCAGAAGCAGCGCTTCTGAAAGCGCCGCACGGCGATGATGCGGTGACCACCGTCTTGGTTTGACGGTTAGCGATAAGCAGCCGCTGCGAAGATGACGGGAGTTTGCGTGGTGATGGTTTACGCTTGTGCCAGGCTATGTGCACTTATAAGGCCACGTGAGGGACAGACCCAGGTGCCATTGGTTGAGGCACACACACGACCCTCGCACAGACACACGACCCTCGCACAGACACACACGACCCTCACACACGACCCTCACACACACACACACACACCCCTCACACACACGACCCTCATACACACACACACGACCCTCACACACGACCCTCACACACACGACCCTCGCACAGACACACACCCCTCACACACACGTGAGCCTCGCACACGACACACGACCCTCGCACAGACACACACCCCTCGCACACACGACCCTCACACACACGACCCTCACACACACACGACCCTCGCACAGACACACGGCCCTCGCACACACGACCCTCACACACACGACCCTCACACACACACGACCCTCGCACAGACACACGGCCCTCGCACACACACACACGACCCTCGCACAGACACACACCCCTCGCACACACGACCCTCACACACACACGACCCTCGCACAGACACACGGCCCTCACACACACACACGACCCTCGCACACACACACACGACCCTCGCACAGACACGTGAGCCTCGTACACACGCCCCTCACACACGACACATGACCCTCACACACGACACACGACCCTCACACACACACACGACCCTCACACACGACCCTCACACACACACGCGACCATCACACACACACACGCCCCTCACACGACCCTCACACACGACCCTCACACAACACACGACCCACACACACGACACACGACCCTCACACACGACACACACCCCTCACACACGACCCTCACACACGACACACACCCCTCACACACACGACCCTCACACATGACACACACGCCCCTCACACCCGCCCCTCACACGCGCCCTCCGTCTCTCCCGCCCCTCACCCAAGGTACAACTCCAAGAGGAGGCACTGGAGGCGCACCAAGCTGGGCCTGTGAGGAGGAGGAGGAGGAGGGGCCTCCATGGAGGAGGGGGGGTGGGGGTGGAGAGGCGGTGGACTCAACATCCGCAGGGAATCGCAGACAGACCGCAGCGGCGACCTCGCCCCACCACTCCTCGCCCCACCACTCCTCGCCCCACCACTCCTCGCCCCCGCACACGGTCGTCCGCTCGCCCACCCCCCCCAACGCCAAGCCCAGGGCTGTCGAGCTTTTGAAATAAACCCTGATTGAGACGCAACACTGCCTCCCCCAAGACTCGCCTTACTTTCCCGTCTTCCTTGGGCCGCGGCGATTTCTCCAAAACTTCCTTTCGACGGCTCTCTCTCTCCCTCTCTCTCGTGTTGCTTGTACGTGCGTTCGGAGCGCGAGTGGAGTGGTTCAGCGTTACGAACCCCACCTCCGCCCCCCGGCGACCAGAGTTCGATTCCCGCTCGCGGCTGACGCCCGTGTCGATTTTCAGAACCGGTCTGCTTCGTGGAGCGATTTCCCCAACTTTCTAAGATGTCTCTCCGGTTGCGAGCCGGTGGTCGGGACGAGGCCGAGAAAGAGTTCTCGCACTCGGCGTGGTGGTTGCAAGGCTATTAATCATGGAGGCGGCGGGGAAGTGCCTTGCCGCTTTGTTAAGCGCGTGTGTGTGTGTCAGTGTGAATGTGTTACGGATGGGTAACGCCGTGCGGAAGCTTCCTGGTCTTGTCGCTCCGCACTAAGCTTCAGGTTTTCTCGGCCACGGTCATTCCCTCCCTTTCTCTACGCTTGCGAAACGTGCCCCCCCCCCCACCCTAATGGAACATCTTCGCCGGTTAGAAACATTTAGGCTAGCCTGCCTACGATCCATCCTGCGTTTAACCAGGCTGGATCGTGCGAGGAGCTCACAAATCCTTGAAAGATCTGGACAAAGTCCCATCGGTGAGCTCCTCCGGCAGGCAAGGCTGCGTTGGCCGGGTCATGAAGCCCGCATGCCCAGCCACCGCATGCCGAAACAGCTTTTGTTTAGCCGGATAGAGGGGGGCTAAATGGGCTAGAGAAGAGATGGGAGTGATGTGGTACAGGAGGACGTGGAGCTGAGTGGACTTGCTGATGACCGGTACCAGTGGTGTCAAGATCGGCCTCTGTGGAGGAGGAGGCTCGTGAAGGACGCCGCTACTGGGCAGTTGGAGGCAGTCGTGACAACGGAGAGCAAAATACAGCAAGTTGGCACAGTGGGGGGCGGGCAACAGCTGGTGCATCTACTGGTCATCTCAGTCAACCCATGGCACGGGGTCTGTGCTGTGGCCTCCTGCACCTAGACTGGCACAGTAGGGGAGTCCAGCCGGTGCGTCTACCGGTCATCTCAGCCAACCCATGGCACCTGCCGAGTCTGTCCCAAGACTTCTCCCGTCAGCGAGACTTGGGACACTTCACGTTGCCGCAGAGTTCGCCTGGCACAGGCGCCGTGCTGTATGTTTGGAGTCTGTGCGTCTCTCTATCATCATCACGGTGCCTAGGAGATGTTAACTACCTCGCCTGGTGCGCAGGAGGGCGTGGGGTTGATCCCAATCCTGACGATATCTGCTGCTGTATATTTGGAGTCTGCGTGTCTCTTCCTCATCATCACGGTGCCTAGGAGATGTTAACTACCTCGCCTGGTACGCAGGAGGTCGTGGAGTTGATCCCAATCCTGACGATGCCTGCTGCTGTATATTTGGAGTTTGCGTCTCTCTCCCTCATCATCATCACGGTGGCTTGGAGATGTTGACTACCTCGCCTGGTATGCAGGAGGTCGTGGAGTTGATCCCAATCCTGACGATGCCTGCTGCTGCTGTAGATTTGGAGTTTCCGTCTCTCCCCATGGTTGTGGATTTCTGTCCGGGCCCCCTTGCTTTTTTCCCCTCCACAATTAAGAAACACGCGTTCAGAGAGAATTTGGCTGCCGCTATAAATCCCCACGCGGTAAGCCACTCCGTTGAGCTCTCATTTGTGGCCAGGAAGGACGCTTCTGAAATAAGTAATATTTCTTTTTAAAAACTTTTTATTTACAAAACACGCTTTAATGAAATGTGCTAGGAATGGCAAAACTCCAGGAAGTAGGCCCTGAAGCTTGCCACAACTTAAGCCAAGGTCAGTTGAGCGTGAACAATTAAGACCCAAGCCGAAATAGCAAGTAAAAATTATTTTAAAATATATATTTATTAATGATAGAATATAGTATTGTCATCAGTGTGACCTAATTATACCAAGTTTGCAGTCGATACCAAATTGGGAAGTGGGTTGAAACTGAGTTGCAAGATATGAGGATACAACGATGACAAGACTAATATTCCTGGTTCTTTCGGTAAAGTCACGTAGAAGGGAAACGATAAAATAATAAAAATATAAAACAAGATAATTGTATTGTTTTATATTTGTATTGTTTCCCTTCTACGTGGTGGTGACTTTACCGAAAGAACCAAGAATATGAATCCCTGCAGTCACGAAAGCTTTCAATCAAAACAGAGTTAAAAGAAAGCCTGTAATCAGAGCTGCCGTAACAGCTCAGTGGGCTTCATCTGATCAAATAAAACTAAATTGTTCAGTCGACACGGGGTGGGGGTCGCGGATTCTCCTGACCCCACTGGTCTGAAACTTCCTCCCCAGCTGTCCGTGCTGTCAACACCCTTCCACCCCCCGCCCCCACCACTCACCGGGACGCTCTTCAAGTGCAGGTTCGGGACCGGGTTTTTCCTATGGCCCACTGAAAGTGCGTTCTGTTTTAACCAAGCGTGAGAGGGAGAGATTACTCTCATTGCAAGGGTGATTCTGGGTAGCCAGTGTCAACCAAATGACCGCCTGCCTCACAATACAAATATCCCCCCCACGTCTTTCCTGATGTTAACTACCTCGCCTGGTGTACAGGAGGTCGTGGGGTCGATCCCGACCCTAACGCCTGCTGCTGCTGTATATTTGGAGTTTGCGTCTCCCTGTGGTCGCGTGGATTTTATCTCACCCCCTGTGTGTGTGGGTACCACACTCCCTGTGTGTGTGGGTACCACACTCCCTGTGTGTGTGTGTGTACCACACCCACTGTGTGTGTGTGTGTACCACACCCACTGTGTGTGTGTGTGTACCACACCCACTGTGTGTGTGTGTGGGTACCACACCCCGTGTGTGTGTGTGGGTACCACACCCCCTGTGTGTGTGTGGGTACCACACCCCCTGTGTGTGTGTGGGTACCACACCCCCTGTGTGTGTGTGGGTACCACACCCCCTATGTGTGTACCACACCCCCTGTGTGTGTGGGTACCACACCCCCTGTGTGTGTGTGGGTACCACACCCCCTGTGTGTATGTGGGTGCCACACCCCCTGTGTGTGTGGGTACCACACTCCCTGTGTGTGTGGGGGTACCACACTCCCTGTGTGTGTGTACCACACTCCCCGTGTGTGTGGGGGGGTACCACACTCCCCGTGTGTGTGGGGGGGTACCACACCCCCTGTGTGTGTGTGGGGGGGGTACCACACTCCCTGTGTGTGTGTGGGTACCACACTCCGTGTGTACCACACTCCGTGTGTGTGTGTGGGTACCACACTCCCTGTGTGTGTGTACCACACTCCGTGTGTGTGTGTGGGGGGTACCACACTCCGTGTGTGTGTGGGTACCACACCCCGTGTGTGTGGGTACCACACCCCCTGTGTGTGTGGGGGGGTACCACACCCCCTGTGTGTGTGGGTACCACACTCCCTCTGTGTGTGTGTACCACACCACCTGTGTGTGTGTGGGTACCACACCACCTGTGTGTGTGTGTGGGTACCACACCACCTGTGTGTGTGTGTGTGGGGGTAAGAGAAAGAAAGACGACAACGCAGGCGGCCACCAAAAGCCACGTGTAGTTTGTTTCCGTGTTTTCTATTAACAAAATAGAGGCATTTAGTACAAGACGACGACTTCCGTGGGGACATCGGTGGGAGGGAGGGGGAAGAGGGGAGGGGGAGGGAGGGGGAAGGAGGGAGGGAGGGGGGAGGCAGGGAGGGGGGAGGGAGAAGACGTCGCAGCTGTGGGCGGGGCGCGCGCGCGTGGCCCTGCTGGGCAACCCGGAAGGGGAGGGGGCCGAGGGGAGGGGGGCCGAGGGGAGGGGCCCGGTGAAAGGGGGGCCGGGGGGGGGGCAGTGGGCCCGGGGTTTGTTTCGACTTCCAACCGCCCAGTAGCGAGCGTCCTTCATCACGAACCTCAACCAATCACCATCACCCCCACTATCATCACCACCATCACTATCACCACCACCACTATCATCATCACCACCATCATCACCACCCCCACTATCATCACCACAACTATCACCATCACCACAACTATCACCATCACCACCACTATCACCATCACCCCCACTATCATCACCCCCACTATCATCACCCCCACTATCATCACCCCCACTATCATCACCCCCACTATCATCACCCCCACTATCATCACCCCCACTATCATCACCACCACTATCACCACCACTATCACGACCATCACCACCACCATCACCACCACTATCACCACCACTATCACGACCATCACCACCACCATCACCCCCACTATCACCCCCACTATCATCACCCCCACTATCATCACCACCACCACTATCACCACCCCCACTATCATCACCACCACTATCACCACCACTATCACGACCATCACCACCACCATCACCACCACCATCACCACCACTATCACCACCACTATCACGACCATCACCACCACCATCACCCCCACTATCATCACCACCCACACCATCACTCCCACTATCACCACCACCATCCCCACCATCATCACCTCTATCACCATCACCACCACTATCACCACCCCCACCATCACCCCCACTAACATCATCATCACCCCCACTATCATCACGACCACCATCACCACCACCATCATCACCACCACCACCACCTTCACCATCATCACCACCATCACCCCCACTATCACCACCATCATCATCACGACCACCATCACCACCACCATCATCATCACGACCACCATCACCACCACTATCATCACCACCATCAGGCCCTTTGGGGGGCGGGGGGTGGAGTGGAAAGGGGGGGGGGGGGTGGGCACGTGCTGTTTGCGAGCACTTTACGAAGGCCGCCGGCACTGTGGCACATGAAAGTGCCCAGCAACCGCGCCCGCCCGGCCGCCTTTGTCTCTCCCCCCCCCCTCCCCCTCATGTTTACTACCGCAGCTACCGCACCTGGGTGACTCATTCGAGGCCGAGTCGACCCAGGAGCTCAGGATTGGC